AGGCCTCAATTTGAAACTGTCATGGCTCATTACCTTATCTATTTGGAGTGTAAAGTAGCCAGAAAAGTTGGAACAGTTATTGTAATGCAGCTAAAAGGCTGAAATTGATCAAGGGGCTGATGTTCTCTGAAGAGTTGTGGATCATTGTTGTCAGCTGACCGTGTTGTTGTGAACGGTTGAAGATAGTCCTATCAGGTGCAATCTTCACATGGGACTGGTTCTTTAGTTCCGGCTAAACACAAGTTGTGAGAGTCTCTTGGATAAGATACGATACAAAGGACCAGGAGATGTGAGTGTGACTGTCTCTTAATATCACACCACACAATGTCGGCTCTGTTGTAGCCGCGTATCCAATTTGTTGTATTTGCAGAACAAATAAAGAATGTCTCGATGCAGTGTAGGAAGGGCAGCTTATTGCACAATAACAGACAGTGAGAAGACTTCACGTCTAAGAAGTGCAAATGTCACCTTGTTTATTACACCATTGTGGTTCTGAGAAATGCTTTCAGCAGATTTATTTTGACACCAGGCTTTGTACAAGCCACAGTTGGGAGACATTGTACACAATTTAATTTAAAAGAGTGAGCGGAGAGACTTCACCTAGCTATTGGTGTATTGCAAAAGTGGATTTACTTTCTTAGATAAAGGGCGGGGAAAAGGCAGCATGTTTCTTGCGAGTAAGCATGATTTGTCCCAGTTACAGCACATTAGAAGATATTGCTCCATTGTCTGTATGCTAGATCTGTAGCAAGTTAGCTTACTTTAGAATAAAGACTGTAAACAGCTTTCTTTATGCTGTCAAACTACAACAGAAATACCTACAAAAACATAAAAAAGAGGATAACATGTAATATTTTTCTCGCACTTTACTTAATCCCTGTGAAGATGATATACACCTGATATAATCTGTTAACAAATTACCTTAACAGGGGCTGGATTTTGATACATTTGGACAAAGCCAGGCTTGCTTTATCCCCTGTATCCAGCCTTTATGCTAAGCTAAGCTAAACGGCTAATGGCTGTAGCTTCAGATTTAATAGACAGATATGAAGCTGGTATCAATATTCTCATCCAACTCTCATAATGAGTGCTTCCCCAAAACATCAAACTATCCAACATACCCTGCTTAGATATTCACAGAAACCAAGAAATACAGATATCTCTGTTGCCATTTCACACCAAAAAAATGACCAAAATAAGTGTGGGTTTCACTCAAGTATTGCTAAACAACTGGCTGAATTGGAATGTGACCAAATCAGGAAATAAATCACACTGAATTTTTCAGAAGCAGAAACACATTTACAACAAGATATTGTTCTAGCAGCTTCTAGTATTTATAATACCCGACTGAGCTAAAGGACTTACAAGTGGAGGTTGTCATCAAGACACACAGCTATTCTTCTCTCTCTGTATCATTACAAAGTTACAGTGAATACATCAAATAAACAGCACACATCTCTGTCTAATCCTATAGGCTGGGATTTGTTTAGTTAATGCTAAGACCCTTTTGACCCATTTCTGTCACCTCTAGCACGTCAGCGCCCACTCAAGACTTCCGAACAAAACACTGGTGCACAACAGCACCCTCAGAGTATACATGATAAAACAGATAATCTACAGGAATCATCCTGGAGCACTGACAAGCAGAAATGTGCTTCAGACAATGAAAAAACAACAGGGCATTAATCCTTGAGGGAAATAGAGAACAATGTGTAAGTGGATTACTTGAGAGGTTTAATAAGAAAATGTATTGAAAATGTGAGGCTAAAACAAAGCCATGTTTCACATTCTGAAAATTGTAATGAAAAGATCATTGTATTTTAAAAGATTATTACATACAATAGTGCTACCGTTTAGGGTGAAAAGCCCTTTAATAGAGAACATTGGTATAATGTTCAAAACATTTTGAAACAATATGTGTTAAATTATTTGTCTTTATCAAAAGGAAATTATTTCAAATCACTTATTAAGTATCTACATTAAATATTTATTTATAACCATCAAATATCAGACCGTAAACATGGGGCCATCCAGCATGGCAATCATCCCTCAACACAAAGGTTTCACTATCAGAGATTCATGCCTGCATTAATGTGAACATTCATTGTAGCCCAAACTATCTCTGAAGTTAAGAGGGCAACAACGTGCTTTTAGACACAGCAGAGTGGAAAACAACCAGCACAAATTAACTAATGGGAGTCAGGAGGGGTGCATTAAAATGAAGGCAGACACTCCCTTTAGTGAACTAGAACCAAAAAGGCCGGCTAAATAAAAAGTTAAACATCAACTTTGTGTCTGGCTAAACCCCAACATTACTGCAGTCTGCAACATTGTTGGCGGTTGAATCTGAGCTGTGAGGAGTCTGACCCTGGCAGTTGTGGCTCAGCAAGAGGCCTGTAATGAAAAAATAAGTACTGACCTTTTATACAAATATTTGCTCCTTTTCTGTATTTCTGGAATCTCCTAAATGAACAGCCTTTTAGTTTGTAGTCCGTGTTCAATGTTTGTCCCTTTGTTGTCAGCTATCCACAGACTGGACAGATGGTTCCCTCTGCCCTCAGACCGGCTGGAGCGGAGGCTGGCTTTGCTATTAGTCCCTCAGCTTAGCCCAAGATAAGCCCCTACGCAGGGCAAGTGAACCCGCATCTCTTGCCTAATTCTCCTTGTCACAGGCACCAAAGAGGCGTTCCTCCGCACGGAGATCCACAAGCTGCGAGGCCTGAGGGCAGGGCAAAGAGGCTCTTCGGCTGGACACTGTCCAGCACAGATAGGGCAGGCTACAGTTACAGCTCACACAACAAAAAACTGGAGAGGTCTAGCCTTTTGCAGGCATCAAAAACACACATGGAGTCACTGAAGAGAAGCTTTGTTAACCGATGTTGCTCTGAGACTAACAACTCTGTATGACTGCTGTGTTCTTCATTCGATTTTCAGTGAGCTTCCCGCATGCACAGGGCCGGATCTTCTCTAAAAATAAATCTTCCTGTATGAAATCGGTGCTTTGTACAAGGACCCCAACTAATTGAGGGCTGGGAAGGACAATGTGGCGTTTGAGGTATTTAGTGATGTTAAGCACAATGTCTTCATGGGGTGCTTCTCCCCCCTCACTGCCTCTGCCCTCCCCCACACCAAGCCCTTCTGCCCTTGTAATGAGGCCATACTGGATACAATACAACCCTTCTGCAAAGAAAAAATGTATTCAGCTGAGCTTCAAAATTGTGAAGGAAATTAATCAGTGAAGCATAAGTGGCAGATTTAATTACTACTCACTGCGTTGCACGGGGACAATGATGACTGCTGTGAGCCTCATGGCCATCTATCAGACATCTAAGCAGGCACATTTACTTCTCAACTGGGATTTCAATACAATTTCAAAATGGTATCCCTGTTATTAAACGGATTGAATGTCCTTATGAGAACACAAAGATGAAGATAATCTTATAGCAAAGGTCGTTGCCATTCTTCTCTTTTAAAGGGACTTTTTGGAAATGTGGGGTTAAGTAAAGGTCAATCAAAGTCCAGAATAAGTCTGATAAAACGTGAACAACCATATGTCTTTCTGTTTTCAAACTACAAACATAATCATAACCACAACAAAGCTGTGAAAGCTGTCAAGGGCATGTTGTCTGGCCAAGTATGTGACAGCTATTGCTATCCTTTTAGAGACCATGGGATGATCAGGCATTTCATGCCAATTACTTGTGACTAATGTCCTCCTCCTTCATATACCTTTGCGTGGCAATGAGATTAAAGAGTCTGGGATTATATGTAATGCGATTACTGTGAAGTGATTTCTGAGACTTGTTGGTGGTGTAATCAGTTGCAATTACTGAAAGCAGCGTAGAAAAATTATGAAACATAAAGTATGAAAAATGAAGAGAAATGCAAGTTATAGCTGAAATTATTGTATCTAACTGAAACATTCATATAAAATACATGGTTCGTCATTAGCTTTAATAACACTGCAGGTCTAATAACCTGAGATTAAGTAATCATTACAATGGAATAACATCAACGTTTAACAAGGTGATTGCTTCATGTGCATCTTCCTTTAGTGCAATGAGGATTTGGGACTTGGGTTTAAGTTAAGGATATGGTTTAAATACTGAATATCAATAAAAGTTTACCCTTAAAAAAAAGAGGGGGGAGGGTACCTTGAATACACGGATAAAAGATCAATATAATATTTAAATAATTCTTTCTTTATCATTTGAACTAAACACAACCTTTTCAAGCCTGATGGACTGACATGACCCACTTCAAATCTGATACATTACTACTTGTGAAAATTACAGTATTGTTAACAACGTTAATAGACTTTTTTTGGCGTAGAAAAATCTGTCTTTATCATATTGTATGAATGGTGAATGGTGGAAACCCTGCAGCATCCTGCCTGTGTATGTAAGGTATTATTACATAAGAGAAACAAACTAAGAAGATACTTATTCTTTTCAAATATTTTGCAAAACAAACTTAGTAAACCCTACTGTAAAGTAATGCATAGCAGGGCTATTTTTATCAAACTTAAAACCATATTTTTAAAAAAAAATGTAGTGTAGGCCTATTTGTTTGCTTTTCTATGTATCCTGTCTATATATTTGTTTCTTTTCTACATCTGTTTTGATGTGTATATATGTAATGTATACTGTAAGTTATCACAGAAGGCTTTATTGGTAACATGTGTGTTGGACCCCGCATTTACCCAAATACAAGCATATGTGTAAAGGCTACAGTCATTTTTTATAATACCTATAGGCATAGCCTATAATGTTCATTATTTAACATACATTAGAATGAAGTTGAATACTCACTGAACTGTAAATGGCTTTCTTATTATCCTTCACTGGTGTTCTGCCAAGTTAGCTGCTGTTTGCATTGCACTCCATATTAAGCAAATGTTAGCTAATATTGAGCAACATGCTAATAGCTATCTAAAAATAAAGCTAAAAGTTGAAGGGGGAAGAGAGTAAAAAAAAAAACGTTCAGTCACATGATAGCAAACCAGTTGTTACAGAAGTCTTACCAGCTGTGCTGACCTCCACAAAAAGTAAACAGTAACGTATTCGTCTCACGTGTTAACATGGCTGTACCTACCAGAAAGTAAGTAACGTTAGCCTCGAGCCGGTAAGCATGAGGACTATGAAGCTCAGCAGTTCACCGGACTTTGAAACATGTCAATGAGTAAAGCAGTAGCGTCTGTCGAAACGCCTGAAACCACAACAGCCCCGCGGTTTTCTCTGTAGCTCTCTAACCGAAAAGAGCTCGATGGATTTCCAAAAACTTTGCACTTTTAACACTTTTAAGCGGTGTTGGAGTCACTACGGTTATGGGGAAAACTTCCAAGACGTGATTGAGAAGGAGTTCAAACGCACTAAAGGTAATGGCTGTTCACAAGCCGCAGTGACAGGCTACTCGTCTCTATATTTACATGGCTGCTCTACTCATTCAAACAGGGATAACATATCTGGATCATGCAGCAACTACACTGTACCCAGAGTCTCTGGTCAGGGACTACTTCCAGGACATTTCAAGGAATGTGTATGGTGAGAGAAGTCACATTAATAAATCCCATCAACTGTTTATCTTTTTCTAAAAACTAAAAACATTTATTTGTATATGTTCAAATAGGAAACCCCCACAGCCATCACCCCAGCAGTAGATTGACACATGACACAGTGGAGAGCGTCAGATACAGGTAAAACCTAATACATATTTTTATCAGGGCCCCTTTGAAAAGCTTTTCTGGATGAAATAGGTGTACATAAATGTTTTGGTGTTTTTACAGGATATTGCAGCATTTTAACACCACCCCTGAGGAGTACTCTGTGATTTTCACTTCTGGATGTACAGCCGCACTCAAATTAGTTGCTGAGAGCTTTCCCTGGAGTCCGCAGTCTGAGAGCGAGGCTGGGAGTCTCTTCTGCTATTTTACTGACAGCCACACCTCTGTAGTAGGCATGAGAGGACTGACTTCTGCCCAGGGAGCAGTTGCCCTGCCTGTCTCCCCTCAGGAAGTGGAAAACAGGGCAAAGGATGAGGCTCAAGGTGAAGATGTTATTTGCCAGACGGCACATCTTTTCTGCTACCCAGCGCAGAGCAACTTCTCTGGGAGGAAGTATCCCCTCAGCCATGTGAGAGGCATCCAGACGAAACGCCTTTACCCAGCATGTGACCACCAAGGACGCTGGTTTGTGCTGCTCGATGCTGCATCTCATGTCAGCTGCTCCCCTCTAAATCTACAGGAGTGCCCTGCTGATTTCATTCCCATCTCCTTCTATAAGATGTTTGGCTTCCCCACAGGTCTTGGGGCCCTTATTGTCCGTAACAACGCAGCAGGCATACTAAAAAAGACTTATTTTGGAGGAGGCACAGCAGCAGCTTACCTTTCTGGGGAAGATTATTATGTGCCAGCTGCAAACATTTCTGACAGGTAAAGTACTGTACAAGCCTGCTAAATCTTGGATATCCTTTGAAGCTGCTGCAACCTTATTTTAAAATGCACTGTTTACTTTTTCGACGATAAAGGTTTGAAGACGGGACTGTCTCTTTCTTGGACATTATTGCTGTCAATCATGGATTTGAAGCTCTTGACAGAATCACAGGTGCTGTATGGAAAAACTTAAAACATATTTTAATAGCAGAATTATAATACATATGCAATGTATTCATGATCTGCTTAAGGTTAACATCAAGCTTCCCTGTGTTCTTCCCTTTTTGTCTCCAGGGGGAATGCACAACATTCAACAGCACACGTTTGGCTTGGCACGCTACACTTACATGCTGCTCTCAAGTGTTTGCCATGGCAACGGGCGACCAGTGGCTCAGATATACGCCGAAGGCCAGTTTGAGAGTCCAAGCACACAGGGCGCAATCCTAAACTTCAACCTCAAGGATTCTCATGGACAGATAATTGGGTATTCTCAGGTGCATTCAATAAATAGGATTTTGTTCTATTTCACAACAGTTCAATTATTGCATATTTATGCGTAGGCAGCGCTGCTGAATATTAACACAGTTGCTCCGTTGCCCTCAGGTGGACAGAATGGCCAGTCTGTACAATATCCATGTGCGAACAGGTTGCTTCTGCAACACCGGGGCCTGTCAGTCCTTCCTCGGGATTAGCAATGAGCAGATAAAGAGAAACCTGCAGGTGAGAGTCAAGAAAAAGGAAACATTTCAAAGTGTGTGTAGGTAGAATAAAACATTGTCTTTTCTCTCCTCAAGGCCGGCCACGTCTGCGGAGACAACCTCGACCTAGTGGAGGGCCAGCCGACCGGATCTGTACGCGTGTCCTTTGGCTACATGTCGACATTTGAAGACTGTCAAAAGTTCCTGAACTTTGTCTCTGAGTGCTTTGTAGAGAAACCAGTCACAGTGGACCAAGTGAGACTAGAGAAGCTAAAAGCGGCCACAGCAGCATCCCACGGCGTGAATGAAGATATTCCAATCAGAATAACGAATGGAGAAATATGTAAAGTAGATGGGAAGGAGAAGAGTACAGAAGCACTGAGGGGATTTGGACACCGAGACTCAAACAGCCAGGGGGGGGCTTATACTCTTACCAACATCTACATATATCCTATTAAATCCTGTGGGGCCTTTGAGGTTAGAACCAAACATTTCTGTCTTTTTAAAATATGTTTCTGTCCCCTTCTTTCCTATTTCTTTTTGCTTAGACTCTGTGCTTTTCTTCATGCAGGTCCAAGACTGGCCGGTAGGACCGCTGGGTTTACGCTATGACAGAAGCTGGATGGTGGTGAATGGAAACGGCGTGTGTCTGAGCCAGAAGAGGGAGCGGCGTTTATGCCTCATTCGCCCCGAAGTCCACCTGCCCTCAAACAAACTGCTCCTGCAGGCATCAGGTCAAGCAGTGTGTCTGCAGCTGACTAAAAATAAACACCACTTTTAGACATAGGAAGTATCAATCATTCGGATTTCCTATGATAAATTCCCTTTGTTAAAGTATTAATGTTTGTTTTTCATATGACCTGCAGGGATGGATACCATTTTGGTTCCCCTGGAGAACAACACTCAAACGCACACAAACTACCGGGTGTGTCAGAGTAAAGTTTGTGGTGACAGGTGAGCTGGCGGTGTTCAAACATGTGAAAGCAGCTGCTGCAGGAAATACTGTGACACATATCACTCATATCTTTCACTGTATCAGTTAATTATCTCGCTACATTGTTCTTGCTATGGCATTATAAGGTCCCCTGCTTTGTCTTTCATATGAAATTCCAGTTATTTACTACTTTTAATGGAAAAACAATGAACAAGAGATTATATTGATTTACTCAGATGCCCGTATGACAAGTTTGAAAAGATCTAATTTTCCTCCACTGTTTTTTGGATTAAATGTAGCATCAGATAGTGAGCGGCATAAAACTTTGTAGATTTCCCTCGGGGCCTCCAGATCATAATCCTCCACCTTCCTCCAGGGTGGAGACTGTCGACTGTGGGGATGAGGCTGCATCATGGCTCTCAGACTTCCTTGGGCAGCCATGCCGCCTGATAAGACAAAGTCCTGATTTTACCCGAGACATGAAGAAGAAACCTATTGGAGGTACCTATATAAGCATCTTACCTGCTCTGCCAGTCTTATTTCTGTATTGTGGATTCATCTGTTATGCTGTACATGAGCAGTCCAAGGTCACATATCCTGTTATAACTGCCTGGCTTAGGCTGCGACCTTGCATTCCCTTCTGATGGTCACTTGGAAATGTCCTCTTTTTCTCCTTTTGCAAGTTGCTCTTTTAATAGAACCAGTGTATTATGTAAAAGGAAATGTGCCATTCAGGCTAAGATTGGCTGATTTAATGATATACACATATACAGTGGTAGAAAGTCAAAACGTAAATACACTAAAGTACCATTTATTGATTTACTCATATTTTAGTGTTTCAATATCCATCTACTTTATACTTCTACTCCACTGCATTTCTGTGGCAAATATTGTACTTTTTACTCCTTTACATTTATTTTGCAACACAAGTGATCTTACAGACTCTGTTTATTTGTTAATACATAATTTAAATGGATGTATACATTATAATACATTTTACTGTCTACAATACAGTGTGAAAATAAAATAGAGCTCACATAATACTAGGTCAATGTATTTATTATAATGTAATTGTTATAGATTTAGATTTCCAGCAGTATATAAGGTAATAAAATGAGCTCCACTTTCACCATCTGCAGCATTAAAGTGATGAACATTATTAAAACATCAAAAATCATAACTTAGTAATTGATATATATATATCCCTCAGGACCCACACAAGACATGATGCAACTATTTGCATTCTGAGTAGCAATCCTTATTACAAATACACCGTCTCTTTTGTCCTCCCATAATATCTAAAAGCTTATTAAACTTCTGCTGACAATGAGGCATCAATGAGCCTGATTCAAGTTTAGATTCACGCATGTTGAATTGTGAGTGCACCCTTTTGATTAAAGGAGCCCTATTATACTCATTTGCAGGTTCATAATTATATTTAGTGTCTCTACTGGGACATGTTTCCATGCTTTAATCTTCAAAAAGCTCTTTATTTTTCTCATACTGCAGCACCTCTTTTCACCCTCTGTCTGAAACCAGAGCCCAGTCTGCTCTGATTGGTTAGCTGGCCGGCTCTCTTGTGATTGGTCAACCTTTAAGTGATGCCCTGGCCCTTAGCCTATTCGTACAATTTTTTGAAGCGCTAACCAATAGAAGTTTGAGGGTTACGTAGTGATGTCATGATGTTACGGAAGTAAACAAAGGAGTCCAATGGAGGCGTTTCAGAGGGGAATGTGTGGGAGAGAAACCTTTGGATTACATACCCACAAATGAAAGCTTTAGTGCAAGTTCAATAAGGAAGACCTAACACGAGTCACTTACACGTCACTCTATGGCTCCCTTCCCCCCTCATTAAATACGAGGGCGTCACCCCTCAGCAGCCAATCGCTGCACATGCTAAATTCCTTAAATGCCTGCTCTTCCACCCTGTCAGTTGTCATTGCAGATGATCACACGCAATGGTAGTACTACAATACTCCTTCTCGTGAGAAAAACCGTAAGAAACAACTAGCTCAAGATGTCCAACTCGGACAATTCGGAACACGAACCTTCTCTGGAAGTCTCCGATCCCGGTTTGGCTCCCCACAGCGGCTTATCAACAGAGGAAGACTTCCTCATCGCCCGGCTCCTGCAGCAGGGCTTTCCCACATGCCTCACTCTCTCTCAGCTCCGAGAGCTCTCGGACCAGGTCTCCAGCGTAGCTCCCCAGTCCGGGGCAGCAGCTCCAGTCAGCTCCCCAGAGAGCAGGGCGAGGACGAGGCCGCAGCCGCGGAGGTAAAAAAAGGGCAGGAAGTCGAGCCCTCCAAAAATCCACCCCTTCTCAGGCTCGCCAGGCAGGGAGTGTCACACCCCTTATGGAGAGTAGCGCGGCCGGCTCCCTGCAATTCCTGGCTAGCTCCATGATAGCTATCGATGCTCGCCTCCAGGCTCTGGAAGACTCCGCCACAGGAGCTTCAACTTCCGTTGCACTCAGGTACTAGTTTTAACGAAAATGTTTGCACTCACCCTTACACAGGGTTGGGTTGTAACGGAATACATGTAACGGTGTTACGTAATCAGAAAACAAAAAATCAGTATATTCAGCTGGTGTTACATTTGAAAACGAGTAATCTGAGTGCAGTTACTTTCGTAAACCTGAAGTGAATACTTATTGGAATTATTGGTGGAAAGTTTCCTCACAATATGTAATATTCATTACCGGCAGAACCGTGTGCACAGCGCTGCAGCTATCTGTGAGCGAGATATGCAGCGTGTCCGTGAGGCCCCGCCCCGCACGCAGATGAGAGCGAGAGAGAGTTCTCTTTCAAAACATATTGGAAGGTAGAAACGGAGATGTTTAGATAAAACGTGGAAGATAACGTTTATGTAGCATTTATTTATTGACGAAATGATGACATTTAGAACGGGATCAAATCTAACTGAATGGCCTGCTGCTGCCGAATGCATGGGGCAAGTAACTGGGAAAAGTTTTAAAAGTTATTATATCGTTTCAGATAATAAATAATAATGATAATGCATTCTATTTAGGGGCGCCTTTCAAAGCACCCAAGGACACCTTACAATGCATAAACTATTCCAAGGAAAGGTTTTAAGACAGTACAAAGAATGCAGTCTGGGTGAGTTTTTCTTTTTATGTGCGGTGCAGATGAGAGAGCTGTCCAGAATGACACTAAAATGTAGTGTTCGTGCTCTTCATAAGCCATTAAAACAGTAAAATACGTGTCTCCCGTTCACCAAAACATACCCATCTGTTATGGAAAAGAAAGTATTCTAAAGAGAAAGAAGAAAGAAAAGATAGAAGAGGAAAGAAAAAAGAAGAAAAAGAAAAGATAAAAAGAAAAGATAAAAAGAAGAGGGAAGTATTCTAAAAGTAATCTGTCACCGGTGCCGGCGGGATTGTGGTTAGTTTCTGATGCGCAGAAGAAAAATCTGGCCCACCCTATATTTTTACAGGCCCACCCTAAAGTACATTTCTGCTTACGCTACTGGTCCGCACAGCAGCAACAAACAATCACATGAATCTCTTGCCCCTGACATACAAAGCAATAGCAATGTTAAAACGAAGTAAACTGGAAAAAAAAAAATAATAATTCCCCAACAGGCGAAAACCTACCTACCACTGTCTCTGCCACCTCCCTCCATGCCTCGCTCCTCTGGTTTGTATCCCGGTAGATGAACAGAGACTGATCATACAGCACCGGGTGATTCACTACCACTATAATGAATTTTCCCTCACATTTTTGGAATATGAGGAATTACCTGCGTAGTCTCTCCCAGCATACACACGGTCTGATTAGCTAGCGCTTGTACTGGCAGATTTGCATAAACGGGATTTCATTGGCTGACGCTTCCGCCGAGGCGCCAAAAGTTGAACATTGCTCAACTTTTTGAAGCGAGCAACGCCAGCAAACGCTCCACGTCGCTTCCCAAAATACAGTTCTGCTAAAAGTGATGTCACCCCATTCAAAGTGAATGGGCAGAAGCGTTTGGAAGCTGTAACGCACGCCACCGTGTGGACGGGCCGTCACAGTGGCTCTGCGCCAGAAACATAAAAAATAAATAAAATAAAAATAAAAACATTCTGGAATATCATCCCTCCACTCCCATAACATCCCTCAGCTAGCAGCTGCGCTATCTACTCACCCAGATTCCGTGTTTGTTGACCATCTCCTGTCAGGGCTCTCCCAAGGCTTCAGGGTAGGGGTCCTCCCATCTCCCACAGTGACTTTCGTAGCAAGAAACTTACAGTCAGCCGCTAAAGAACCCAACATAGTTTCTCAGCTCATCGACAAAGAACTTCTCAAAGGATATATAATCTGTCCTTTTAGATCCTCCCCCTTCTCAGTGTTCCGTTCAAATCCCATCGGAATAGCCACACGTAAATAAAAGGCTGATTTTCGATCTGTCCGCTCCCTGCTCCGGCCCATTCTGCAGCGTCAATAGCATCATCCCTCCAGATCAGTTCTCCCTTCACCATGCCTCAGTGGATAATGCAATAAAGATGATCAAGTTCACAGGGCACGGAGCTCGGCTCTCCAAAGCGGACATTACCGATGCCTTCAAATCATCCCCATTCATCCGTCTCAGTGGAATTTGTTTGGTATTAAGTGGGAGTCCAAACTCTATTTTCGCCGTTCGCCTGACCTTCCGGTGCAGAAGCAGCCCCCGCATCTTCAATTCCTTCTCGGAAGCGCTCTATTGGATCCTGCTGAACATCGTCAGAATCCCCTCCGTCCTTCACCTACCGGACGACTTCCTCCCCATAGACCCGCCACAGGACAGCTCAGGGATCTCACTGGCCAAGCTTAAACACTGCTTCAGGAGTGAGGTGTCCCTCTCTCCAAATAGAAAACGTTAGGTCCCGACACACGCTTAGAGTTCTTAGGCATCATCCTCGACTACATAGACATGAAGGCGTCTCTCCCCTCCGACAAATTGCAGCGCATCCGGGACATCACCAAGTCATTCTGCGAGCAACAAGTTATCACAAAACAACAGTTGCTCTCCCTTCTCGGACACCTCAACTTCGCCATGCACGTCATCCCCCAGGGGCGCTCGTTCATCTCCCGCCTCCTGGACGCAGCATCAGCGGTCGACAACCTCCATGACTGCGTTTTCTTAGACGAAGGCTGCCGCTCAGACCTACGGTTCTGGTCCCTCCTGCTCGCCCACTGGAACGGAGTTACTTTCTTTTTCGATGGCCTCTGACTCAATGAGGTTCTTCACGGATGCCGCCCATCCATGGGTTTTGGGGGTTTCTTCCAGGGAGAGTGGTTCGCAGGCCCTCAAGCAAGTTCTCATTAAATCCGGCCTATCGCCCATATCGTACCCGGGGCATTCCTTCAGGATAGGTGCAGCCACCTCTGCTGCTAATCAAGGTCTCTCTACCTCATCCCTACAACAACTAGGACGGTGGTCCTCCTCTGCCTTCACAACCTTCATTCGTCCGGACATCAGCGCCGTACGGGCTTCCCAAAGATCTCTCAAACCCTAACTACGGTATCTATGCATATAACTGGTGGTGGTTCATAACACGTATACATGTCTCATCATGGTATCGGATTTCAAACTGCATTCCTGTCCTAGTCCGTGGGCCCCCGCCCACAGGGAACAATGTCTCGTCTCACGCTGCACCTACCTGTAACGGGCTTCATCTCCTGCACGCAGGTATCCAAATCCCAGGCCCTTGCTCAAATGTGTCAGTGTAAAATGTATATCCTGCGAAGTCAGGCGTGGACTCGGACCACCGTACACTTCGGTGTCGTGGCTTCGGGCCACCGTACACTTCGGTGTCGTGGCTTCGGGCCACCGTACACTTCGGTGTCGTGGACGTTGGGCCACCGTACACTTTGGTGTCGTGGACGTTGGGCCACCGTACACTTCGGTGTCAGTTACAAAACAAAGGAAATAAAGAAAGAGTAAAGAAGGAAAATAAAAAGATATGTCCTGCGAAGTCAGGCGTGGACTCGGGCCACCGTACACTTCGGTGTCGTGGACCTTGGGCCACCGTACACTTCGGTGTCAGTTACAAAACAAAGGAAATAAAGAAAGAGTAAAGAAGGAAAAGAAAAAGATATGTCCTGCGAAGTCAGGCGTGGACTCGGGCCACCGTACACTTCCGTGTCGTGGCTTCGGGCCACCGTACATTTCGGTGTCAGTTACAAAACAAAGAAAAAAAATAAATAAAGAGAAAAAGAGTAAAGAAGAAAAAGAAAAACATATATATATATATATATATATATATATATATATATCCTGCAAAGTCAGGCGTGGCTGAGGGCCACCGTACACTTCGGTGTCGTAGCTTCGGGCTACCGTACACTTCGGTGTCGTGGACGTTGGGCCACCGTACACTTCGGTGTCAGTTACAAAACAAAACCGTTCGACCTTCGGGCGGCGTAGTCAAGCCCTGCTAGCCAGGCAGGCGACCCGCAGGTCGTTTTCAGATAAGACCGGCACTGATTTCGGCAGTCAGAGTCTCAGCATGACCCGTAAGCTCCGGCAGTGATTCCGGCTCAATGCCGCTTACATATGTTAATCTATTATCTTTTATTCCCAGATCACCACAGTCACCCCACAAGGTAAGCGACTCAGTTCATCTCAGTATTTCATACTTCACTGGTTTTGGGGATTTCATCGGAGCGGTTATTTCCCTCCTGAATGATTATCCTGCAAACCGGGGCCTAATCACCAAACACCATTACATTCTCCTGTTGTATTATCGTGGCAATCATTTCATTCATATGACGTGTAAACAAGTTCAATAAGGAAGACCTAACACGAGTCACTTACACGTCACTCTATGGCTCCCTTCCCCCCTCATTAAATACGAGGGCGTCACCCCTCAGCAGCCAATCGCTGCACATGCTAAATTCCTTAAATGCCTGCTCTTCCTCCCTGTCAGTTGTCATTGCAGATGATCACACGCAACCCGCCTCCACCCCTCTCGCCTCCCGTCTCCTTCAGGACAAAGCTAAACCTTCCTCCTTCAGACCGGTCTCACCTACTCATCACCACCACCAGTGTCTAGACCCCGGGGATTTCATCGGAGCGGTTCTTTCCCTCCTGAATGATTATCCTGCAAACCGGGGCCTAATCGCCAAACACCATTACATTCTCCTGTTGTATTATCGTGGCAATCATTTCATTCATATGACGTGTAAACAATAAATATGTAATTCTTACATCACATCTCTCCGGTTTGAAGTATAATAGAGCTCCTTTGATATCTACAAAAAGAGTTGCACTTGTTTCTCCCTCTGTAGTACAGCAGAAGCTCAGTTTTGTTCCACAGTGAAGATGCATGCTGCAAACCAGAGATCAAAATGTTTTCCTCGGATTGAACAAATCACTGGAGTAATATAAACTCTTTCCTTTCTAGCTGCCACCACCACCTCCCTCTCCCTGGTGAATGAAGCTCAGTATCTCATGATCAACCGTGCCAGTGTGGAGCTCATTCAGAAAGTAATGAGCAGCAGGTTGGAACACAGGATTTGTTATTCAAAATAAGCAATGCTCTGTAGAGAAAAAAAGAATCAGGATCCGTCTACACCTTACATTTACATTACAGTGGATCATTTTCAGAGCGACGCTAAATAACATGTAATTTCCCACACTCCCTTTCTCAGGCAGGACGACTCCGAGGGCGATCAGCTTCTTGACACACAGAATGTCATTAGCCGCTTCCGAGCCAATTTAGTCATCGCTGGAGTAGAACCATTTGAGGAGGATAATTGGCCACACTTGATTATTGGCAACACTAGATTCATGGTGAGCTAACACTTCCAGATACATGAGGAAATCTTCAAATTAATTAAAGGCAGATTGCTCTAAAAAATCACGTCCTCCTCTTTGTGATGAACCCAAAGGTCACAGGTCAGTGTGGAAGGTGCCAGATGATTGGCGTAGACCAGGAGACTGGGGGCAGAACAAAAGAGCCGCTCATGTCTTTGTCTGCCTATCGCAACGGGAAGGTCAGCCAAAAATAGTTACTGCTCATTCGGGTGCTATATGAAGTTAAAATGTGCATGAAAAGATGAATGAGTTGTGTTTTTATATATTTGTAGGTCACTTTTGGTGTGTACCTGACCCATCAGCTACCAGAGGGCTCCACTGAAACAGGCATCCTCTCTGCTGGTTCCCTGATACAGACACAGTCCTTGAAGTAGTCATTTCCAACTTGTTTTTAATCTATTTTTCCGACATCTTTTGTCCTAATCAGTACGTCTGCTCATCACGTAATAAAAATCACCTGTCAAACACTGTGGGGAGTTTCTATTGATGCTGCTCTCTTTATTTGTCTGTGCAGCTCTGGTGGCTTTTCCCCTCTCAAGTGTCCTTTTCACACCAGAGCATTCAGATTAGTTTCTATACAAGTCTGTTTTAATGGGAAGTGAAATTCGTTTTCTGGATATTTTTTTAATATAAAGTTTTTTAAATACATGCAATAAAGAAGATGTGAAGTATTAAGTGGATGATAACATTGTCAAGGAGAGACTCTGAGGCATGAACTCAATTGCACGACTCAGATAGTGTTCTCAAAAAATAAAGACTTTACTGGAATTTAGCACAGTAATCAAAACAAGGAAAACAAATATACTCTTTCGAGGAAAACTAGCAAGTGATCAATGAGGTAGATCCGTGGGAAGTCCGTGAGGTAATCAGGAACGTGGGTCATAGTAAGACAACGAACTGACAATGAACAGGAGGAAGCTACCACAATATATACACAGGTAAAGGGGACACAGGTGGAAACAATCAGGGCGGGGAAAACAATCAAGGACGCAGGAGACAGAAGGGGGCGGGGAGCGTGGAGGCCTGAAATGAGAGGGATGATTAATTAAGGGAATAAACATAAAGCACAGGGCAAAGGGACATGACAAAACTAACATAAAGAATACACTTTCACTATTAGTTTCCTAGACATGACAAACATCATAAGTGTACTGTTATTCGAGCCAAAACATGTCGGACTCGATGCAATAATCGCTGCTCACATTAAACTCAGAGACAGTTTATTCCTGTGCGGGATTATATTGCTTTTAATTCCAAACACCACTGAACACTGTTACTGCTGCTACAAATCAATAACACATATTGGTTTAATGGAAAAAACCTTCCAGGCACTGCGTGCTTAGTAAATGCTCCAGAAATGGGGTGGATACATTTTATGACAAAAAGAGTATACCATTTATTCATTTATACAATTTACTTTTATTTTAGAGTTACGCAGAAAGTGCACATTAATAGACAATTATGTAAATGTGCGTGGTGTAATGAAAGGTCCAAAGCAAACATAAAATACATTTAAACAGGAATGCCAATACATAAACCATAATAGAAAGCACACTTCAGGTTATTTCCTGTTTAAGATAACAATGTGTATTTTCACAGGGACATTTTGGCCATCAGACATGATGTGCTCAGAGTGACATTCTTCTACCAAAAGTAATGTTATGTGCTTAACTGATCTGTCAAAGTCTGACATGTCTTTGTTATAGAAATCAGTAATGGGGCTGCTGTGTGTCACTTGGTTTTGTACTGCTTGTAGCATGTTTACCTGTATGTGCGTGCCCACATGGGGCATAGAAATTACATAAAAGGAGAGAATGGTAATATAGAGATGGATGACAAATTAAAGCCTCCAGGATATCTTCAGCACTCCTTGGTATTATTTCTCCAAGTCTCTGGAACTTTAATGGATGGATTAAGGTTATTCTTCTAATATTCCCTCATGTAGTCTTTAATTAACTGTAGGATATGAATCAAAGAATGTTATGTCACTTCATTTACTCTGTTCTTTCAAAACAGTCATTCTGATAAAAATGGTTGCAGCAAAGTTTGTAACTGTTTTTAATCAGTGATGTTTTACTTTCTATCCAAATGTATTTTCCTCTGGAATTGTACTGTCTGAACCATTCAATTTAATAACAGTTGAGACTGATACTGTAAATCTATTATCTAATTATCTATTTGCATTGCAAGAATCTTTCTGAATAATGACAGGAAATACATGCTGGTTAACTGTATTGACTGTTTTTAAGGTGGCATTGTGTGTAACATGTATTGTGCTTTCTACTAAACACTGTAAAGCAGTGCTACCTTAAATCCCAGGTGCCTCCCCTTCCGCGCGATTAAACTGCACTTTGTACCAACTTTTTTGCTGCCAAGTGACACAGAAACACTAAGGAACTGGGCTAGGGGTTAGAATAAATATTAAAAGGGCATTCATTTGATAAATTAAACGGACTTCACATGACGAGGAAGAGGGTCGTCAAACAGCATGGTGCATCCTCCGCAGCCAGCAAAGTTCAGAGGTCTGCCCGGGTCCAGAGGGATGAAGCACCGTGAGTTAGCTAGCTACTTCACTTTATTATTGCTATTATACTAGTTATGTTAGCTTGTCATTCTTAACTCTGCATTGAAGTGCTGGGATTAAAGCATAGGATTAAAGTCGATATCGATTTCTCTTCCCCATATTGTTGTCCTAATCAACTAAAAGTTCGATATTTTAGAGATTTAATGATTGCATTTTTATTACAGTGAGTTAGTTTAAACTTAAAGGTTCCATGTCCATGTTCCATGTCATGCTTTTCAGGTTATTACCTATGGTTATTACCCGTCCCCTTGTGTGTTATGAAGGTTTGTATGCATGTAAACGGTCTGCAAAGTCACAAACCCTCAAAGTAGTAGTGATGTGTCGGTCGCGAACGAGCCGCCTCAAAGATCCGGCTCTTTTAAGTGAACGACGGGAGCCGGCTCTCGCCCGCGAACGAGCCATTTTTGCGGAGGGATCTAGATCGGCATGAAGGCACATTATGCAATGTGCAATGTGTACATTATCCCGCTTATTACATGGCGGTAGGCTACACCCTGTAGCGAGTAAAACTCTAACACAGAAAATGGACCAATCCGTGGAGCCGTTACGTTACGTCCGCGGAGCCGTTAGGTTACGTTTTTGGATTTGGATTGGAAAAGAGATTCAGAGTGTTGGCAGTACACTTTGAGGTAACAGTGACATTATTATTTCCTAGAAATACTAGAACAATGTGCAGTAAAAATAGTTGTCTAGAATACAAATGGTTGCATTACAGTACACTGCAGCAGTTGTACATTCATTGGAACAATCTGGCATGGGGTTTTGGACCTCTTCTAAAAAGGGTTGGGAAGTTATACTATAAATGTTAACTCTTGGCAGATGAGGTGATGAGTTTGATGGCTGTTGAAATAGATGTCCTCCTATATGTTTCCCTCGAGCTGTGAGGAGGAATCAGTCTTCGACTAAAAGGGCTATTCTGGCTGATTAGAGTGTTAATGGAGGGGGTGGGATGCATTGTCCAATAATTGGCAATAGCCTGAATAGCATCCTCTTGCCTGTTGTTGCCTCTAGGGAGTAATGACGGACTCCAATGGCAGCCTGCCTTCTTGATTAGATTACACAGTCCTTCTCTCCCATATTAATCCTGCAACCACAGATTGGTGGGACATGTGTGGAGTGGATCTCTACATGCCAATGGGCTTGAGTGTACATTCTCTCGTACATCTGTTGTTTGAATGGCGATGTGTTCATTCACTGTCGACACACTGAAGCGCATTTGAACAGCGAACCAACCATAGTCTCAGTAACTAAGACTCTGAAGTGAATTGGGTTTTGAATCAGTAAAGTTATTTGTGGTTTCCACCTTGAGACATTACTATTGCTGAGTCATCCAAAAACGTTTGCAGCTCAAACGAAGCAGAGTTGCAGTGGGAGTGAAATAAAGTGAGCCGAATTATCAGCAGAGGTACTGTATACAAACAGACTTTGTCCTAGAAACCAACCATACCAACTGAATGAAGCAGATTCATGCTCCAAATCTGTGTTTCTTCAAAGCTGTTTGGCTGCTGCTAATGTTTTCTCAGCTCGTTTTACAGATGACTTAAGATCCAGGCTTCTGATGACTAAAGTCCTTAATCCGGTTAAAATACACAGAATTAACAACCAGTATCCAAAAACTGTATAATTTAGATGTGGATTAAAACTGGAAAAAAAAGTCCATTTATGCACATGTACATAAGGATATGACTGCATTAAAGGAGAGTAAATAAAACGGACAGATACTTAGATAAAAATGATGTATTTCTCTGGGTTTTAAAACTGTAAAATGTAGGATAATGTAAGTACACAGCTAAACAAAAAAAAAAGTGTCTTTAGAATTCTAATGTGGAAATGTTACATAAACACATTACACTTTTAAATTAACAGATGGTGTTGCATGGTGCTCTTACTCCCCTCCATTGCAGTCTGCTCTTGTTTGGCTCAGTTACAAAAATTACAATTCAACAAGTATTTGAGTCAGTATGAAAGACAACCTGGAGGGTCGTCTGCCATTACTGACACGAGTTATATAAACTAATGGCCAGATGGTGAGTGGTCACATTGATTTCTGTCTGTTCTCAGGTCCCGGTGGTGGCTGAAAAGAGGCTTATTGGCCCTTGTTATCTTCCTTTTGGTGCCCTGCTTGCAGAAGACACTCCCTGAATTAATCCAGCACCTTGTTTACACTCACAGAGGTATGTGAATTCCCTCTTGGCTTCTGTGAAGTATTGTAAATATTCAAGCGGATCATACAAAAAATGGCCTCAGCTCTCTTCTCTCCTGTTCGTAGTCAGGGTGCCGTTCTTTATTGACCTGAGCCGACCCTCTGATCTCTCCCTTAATCACACCGTCAACATGTACTTAACATCAGAGGAAGGAATCTCCCTTGGCGTGTGGTGAGTATAGGCCACGTTTGAAATGTTTTTATCATAGCTATAAAAGGGCAAGGACCTTTTTTTTTAATGATCCAGTTATCAGTTATCAGTTGTGCCTTTAAGCTGTTTTATTGTTCTGCACTGTTCAAGGCACACTGTCCCTGAAAGTAAGTGGAAGGAGGCACAAGGGAAGGACTTGGCATGGTACCAGGACACTTTAAAGGATAGAAGTCCAGTTTTTATATATCTTCACGGAAACACAGGCACAAGGTATGATGAATAATGCATTCGTGTTAAATTGCTCCCGAAGAAGCAGATATTAAATGTTTCACACAGCTAGACATATTTGGGAATGTTTAAAAAAAAAAGTTTTTTACAATTGGCCCCTGTGTTATCTGTGAATCATTCCAACAGGGCAGCCGCTCATCGGATCGGAGTGGCAAAAGTGAGTGATCACCGGCACAAACATATGAATCTTTTGAAGGTCTAATAAACGTAAGAAGCAGCCATTGTGAAGACAAATAAGCATTATGTGTCTGTCAACAGGTATTGAGTGCACTTGGTTACCACGTGCTGGTGCCTGACTACAGAGGTAGGTGAAAATTAAGATTTATGACCATCTCCACACTTATTTGGCTTTTTATTGATTGTAATACACCAACCTCTCACATTGATTTAAAATCATTTGCAGGCATAAGATGTAGAGTGATGCACTTGTGCTTGATGAGTTGTTTGTTGTTAAGCCGTCAAAAGACAGTAGTTCAATTTAAGGTCAGACTAGTGCAGGTTTCCCGCTGAGTGGCTGCCCCCTGGTGGCCGTGAAGAGCATCTCTTGGGATCTGACGGTGAGCTGAAGTTGTTGAGAGAAACTTTACAGGATTTGGAGATTCCACCGGGGAGCCGACTGAGGCCGGTGTGACCACAGATGCCCTCTACGTTTACAACTGGGTCAAAGAACGCAGCGGGGACAGCCTGGTCGTCATCTGGGGACACTCTCTTGGCACCGGGTCAGTGACAAAACACTCCTTACCCTCAGCATTTGTCTCAAGTAGAGACACTTAACTTCCACAAGTAAAGTTAATACAGGTCAATGTTATGAATGTGTATAACATGCTTTTCTTTTTTTTAAATATTGGACTTTGATGTAATAGACACCTCTCTATCCTTTAGTTATCTAATTGCTGTTGAAACAAAACATTTGCTGTTCCTCTTATTTTGATATAATACCGTATACATGTTTATAATAAAGCAGCGACTTACACCATTTAACCTGAGCAGGGATGGCCATGGCTGAACAGATGAAAGAGACCCACACACAGAAACACAACATCTAACCTTTGGAAATCATTCCTGTGCAAAACACTTTGAATTCAGCACAGAATCACTACAAAGGAGACTGAACAAATGTTTCCCCTAAATATTGATTAGTTACATAGCTTGATTGACTCATTGGTCCTTAATGTTTCACCGTTTCAGGTCCAGTTTATTGAAATGCCAGTGGCAGCTATGCAAAGAAAATCCTAAATAGTGAGTGTCAGACAAATATTGATACAAACTTTAGATCTCATCATATTAAATACTATCATGTCTGTCAATATATCGACGTAAATGTTACTTTGCATTATATTTGACAGTGCTGTACACATGAAGGCTTAACAATTAGCTCACGTCCATCAAACTCAGAGTGTGAGCTACTTCCAAAAAATAAACAATAAAACTTATATTCCCTTATTATTAAATAAGATATGTGCTCTTTTATATAATATATAACACATTGTTGGCTATACTTGTGTATGCTGTCTGTTGTGGTACAACATTTGGTATGTTTTGTCATATGCATTGTATGTATATTTACTGTACTTGGGAGAAGAAAAAGACACATTTTAATGGTGCAAAATAAAGTAAAATAAGGCAAAGTAGGTTTTTAAATATGCTGATAGGAGAGTAATGTTGCATAGGAAATTATTTAAATCAGAAAAGGTTGATTAAGATTAGCCCACAGCTACAATACACCTGCTAACATCAGAACTAGCTGAACTGTTCATTCCAACTACACTAAATGAGACACTGAGGATGTTTCTCTTCTGTGCAGAGTGGCCACTAATGCTGCAGTCAAACTGCATGAGCAAGGTAAGTTGATACCAGTGTATTTTGGAAAATGGAAATAAAAGGACTCTTGATGACAGTTTCCTGTTTTCAGGGAGGAGTTTTGATGGTGTGATTCTGGAGGGTACATTCAATACTAAGGGACAGGAGATGCCGATTTTTACCTGGGTAAACTTCTGGAACTTGTCACTTCTGACATGTGGTTTGTGCATTTCAAGTAGCTGCTTCTTCATTACGCTTAACCTTTTAATGTATTATTTTCTTTCTGTTCTAAGTATTACTGGAGGCTTCCAGGCTCTGGATACTTATTCCCAGATCCAGGGGAAGAAAACAAGGCTTTATTTCCTTCTGAAGAAAAGTAAGTGTCCATTTAACGCTTGCTTTAAAACAACAGTTAATCAGTTATTAATATTGTTATTACATTTAAAATGCAATGACTATATGGACTTGTTATCTTGCAGTTTGAAGAAAATGACATGCCCGATCCTTTTCCTCCATTCAGAGGACGATCACTTGGCTCCCATTCAGACTGTTCAGGAGGTATTACCGGCACAGAAAGCTGTAATAGATTAGGTGTTTTCTGTGGGATAGATTTTTGTTGTAACTGGAACAAACTTTCCTTGCTTTTTCTCTGTCCCAGCTGTATGAGGTAGCAGTGATGGCCCAGAATGCAGAGCGGGTCAAGATGGTGCCATTTGACGGTTCTCTGGGGTATCTGCACAACGGCTTATATCGAGACCCCCATCTGCCTGACAGCTTACAGTGAGAAAATATTTCACTCATTGACATTCAAATGATTTTATTTTGGCAAATATGTATCTGTTCATATCTTCAACATGTATTTCATCATGTCTCCTCCGCAGGAAGTTTGTCCTGTCGCTGTAAAGTTGGAAGCAGAAGACTTCAGACACACATTGCCAATCAATTGCTTTTGTCTTTATGACTGCATTTGCACAAATATGTGATTTTCTTTACTTTTCAAATTTGTATTTGTTTGTTTTATATCTTATATTTTTAAGAATAAATGCAAACATTTTTCTGGCAATCGTAAAAAAAAATGGTGTGATTTGTATGAGCCATTGTAGCAGAATCCACCCTCTGCTGGGCATTGTGGTGTGGTGATAATGCTCATCTATAATTCCCAATAATGAGTTTTGTAATCCAAGGTTTAAGATGTCTATGTTTTTATTTCAGAACAATACATGGAGAGCAGCTGCTGGCAAATGTCAGAAATGAGTTGTGAATGTCTTTCAATTCAACCACAGGATATAAAGTGCATTCCTATCAGTTGAAAGAACCTCAGTTCAAATGTCTTTGCCGTTAAATTATAATAAATCTGTATCACTGCTGATGTCAACAAGCAATGCATTGGTCCGTCTATGTGTAATGCACTTTTACATTTTGGTTTCATTAGTGTCAAACTCCACAGAAGATGTCCTCCTTGCACAGATAGTAACTCCCTTTCACCTCTCAGTAATTCACATGAAAAGGCCTCCATATACATGCAGCCTCCATATACATGCAGCATGCTGGAAGTTGCATTGAAGAAGGGATGTTTTATCCATGCTTCATATTAGTTATTTTAATAAACTGTATTTTTTAAACATGTCTTATTTAGGGTAAGTCCCCCTGCTCATTCTAGTGATGTGTATAATGTATAGTTGACAAACCTGTCAACAAGGCCTTCCAACCATTATTGTACTGACACACATCTACATTTATATGCTGTCTGTTAAATATCTATGTCACATTTGGGTAGATGTTCAAAAACATTTAAAACTCAAGAGCATGTCGTCAATGAAGTGGCATCTGTCTCCTTTTGATGAGAAGGTCTGACCACATTTGTAGAAGGATTTATTGAAGGGGAAAGTGTATTTGCAGTACCTTTGAACTACTGCTGTAGATGGAAGATTGTTAAAAATATTGCCCATTTTATTATACTATAGGTGTTGTGGTTGTGATAAGAGAAGTACAAATAGCTGTATTCATGAGTTACAAAGGGAAGTTGTTGAAGGTGTTTTATGTTCTCAACAATCCATCTATTCATTGGAATGTTTTAAGTTGTGGTATTATGTTATCCAAACTATCCCCAGAGTGGTATCATGAAATCCCAAAATATATTAAATGAATGGTTGACGCCAGGGGCGTCGCCTGGACCTGGAAACATTCGGGGCTTAGCCCACAGTGGCGGCGCTACAGTCAAAACACGCACATACACAATTGCGCCATCTGATGTCACAAACGTGTGCCTGCATTAGCTTTGTTACGGCAATGGATTGTGGGAGATTCTCATAGCACGTGAGGATCTCTCGAGGGTAAGGTGCCTGTATTATCTCGGTGGACAAAATGTATGTTTTTATTTTATAAGGACAATAACGTACTGTTGTGTTTGTTTAGTTTAATGTTAATTGTTTAATGCTCACAGTCACAGCAACATGGTTTTAGTGTGATTGGCTATTTGTTTTATATGATTTATCAACGTGATCATCAATAGCTAATCTGAGCACCAGAACCCAGCTCACGAGTCCTTTTATGCTGTCCATTGAAATGCAGGTATGCAAGTTTTATACACCAGTTTATTTATGTTTAATGTTTCACATTGCTCCACATGATGCCTTGACTACAAAGTCTTCCATGTTTCTTCGCTTCTTCCTCTGTGTCACAGTTTCGGGAATATCAAGATCATTGCACAGGGCCTTGGTCTTGTCATAGACCTCATGTGCTTTCTCGTTACTTTGGTAACTTTTCAGTGTGTTCTCAACTGCTGTTTTGTAATCTACTGCCTGCACCAAATCAATTGTTTCGTTCTGCAGGTATTTGTGCAGGCCCTGAGTGGTTGAGAGCCGTGTCTGGAACATGACAAGCATGTAGATGGTACTGAATTTTCAAAGCTTGCTTTCCAGTCCCTTTGCTAGAGGGGCTAAAGGCTCCCTAAAGTCTTGATCAAAGCAGGGAGGTTTTTGACATGCCCAGCGAACAAGTTGTTTGTCCCCTACCTCTAGCTGTTTCTGAAATGTTTGCAATCTCTGATGGTGGACAAGAGATGTGGAGAAGAAAGAGTAGAGACACTCCAGGAGATCAACGCAGCTATGTGAGTTTTGTACACCAGTTTGTATAAGTTTATTTTTTCACATTGCTTGTGAAAAATATACTACCACTATACGATCACTGATGTTTTGTTGTTGACTGGACACTTATATTGTAAAAGAGATAGCATGAGAGGATCTCTTAAGCAATGCAGCTCACGTGTCCTTTTTATATGCTGTCCATTGAAATGCAGGAAAGTAATCACCAGCTCTGAGTGATCTGTTGACGAGGGGACACTACACCGGAGTTACATAAGCAGAGATAAAGTGCTATTTTGGGGGGAACTAACCTCCTCTGGGGTCCCCCAGGAAGACTTTTTTTAAATACTGAAGTTAAAAGCATCAATCTTGTGCACTTTGAGAGCAACATTAAGAGATATGGATATATCTCTCAACACCCATATGTCAAAAAGAAATCAAAGAATCAGAATCAGAAACGGGTTTATTATTTAAAAACACTTCATTTTCCAATTAAATCATAAACTATGTCAAATTATTAGAAGTTGTTAGTAATCAGATTAAACAGAAAAAAGGGATGGAAGGAGGAAATAATAATCCCTCATCACTTGCTGTTTGCGGTTGAAATGATCTCTTTTGCTGGCCAAACATGCTGGATGGAAAGCAGTGGTGTCTCACTTGCCTTGGCCCTGTATCTGCAGTCCCTAAATCAGTCATGTTACTCATTGACTCTTGTCTGTTCTGATGTTCCTGTTCATTGTTGTCTCCATTGTCGTTCTTGTCTGTTGTATCTCCTTCTTGTGTGTCCCTTTCTCCTGTTCTCCTTTCTTCATCCTCTACTCTGTTTGGCTCATCTGTGATGACTGTGTAGGTAAACACAAACAAGTATGTATCAGTTTCCAGCTCTGTCAAATAAATGAATTTCAAGATACACACATTTGTCTTCATTAAAATGAGTGTCACCACACTGTCACAAAATGTAATACTAACCAATTGAAAATAGTTAAATTTACATCTCTTGTAGATATCACTGTTAGAGTAGTTATCTGCCAATAGGACATAATCATTTCCTATACAAATGCAGTTTGAGTAATTCACTTAATATATTTACTTAAAACTTTAATATAGTCATTTTCACTTAATACTCTAATATAGTCATCTTTCTGCATTCAACACTAAGGAAAGCTGTACAATTTGACATGATAATGAGGAAAAAAGGCCTCCGACAATGCAGATCATTTGTTGATCATATCAATTTTAAGATGCGGGTCAAGGCTTAATATTTGGGAGCATAGTGTCCCTTGCCCCCTTTCAGGAGCCCCACTGGATTGGCTTTGATCTGAAATATTAGTATAAAAAGCTTGTTAGCTGGCTGTCCATCTCATAATGTTCACATAGAAACTAGCTGTCAATAGGAAATATAAATTAGAAGAATTATATTTTCATGCAAAATCTGTCACAAAAAGAGGTTGCACATTTAAATGCAGGTGTTGTTATGGCAACGTCAGTGGCCAGACAGCCACATTTACTGCTGCAAATACGTTCAAACATGCTGTCGACACGTAAAGCAGTGGCAACTATGCCACCATTTCAGCTGACTTTTTCTCAGAAATACTGTCACATAACATCCATATATATATATTTCAGTGCTAGGTTGATGCTTAGCTAAGCTAACTATGAAACACTTTAACTGACAGGACTCAGGATCAACGGTGTACTGTAAGGCAGCTTCTAGCTTCATGTCGAACACAGACAGTAAGTCAACATTTCCCAGAGAGCTTTCTTTGAAATCACCAAGTAACGCTAAAAAAACACAACATTTAGATTGTATGACAAAGTGTTTATTTAATATATCTGGCTAGCTATAGCTACTTGCTAACGGTTTAGCTTACCCGCGCGATTCAAAGTAACGTCAACGTAGCTATAATGTATGCTTTGCTTACATGTTCGCATAACTTGTAAGTTTACTGACAGGTACATACCTTGTTCATCTGGCTCAGGTGGTGGCTCTGGGGTTGTTGTGAGCCACCACTTGAGAATTGCCGTCTTTTTTATTTAAGAAATGTCTAATGTCCATCTTCAGAATCTCCGCGTCCGGGGCTGACAGTTTAAAGTTTAAACATTGTCACAGAGGAGAGGTACGTACCTGTCAGCCAATAAAACACGTTTATTTCCATGCAACTCTCTGATTGGTCTGGTGGCGTCGTCTTGCCTCTGTGTTGCATTCACTGAACATGGGAAATTACATTCCTGCCGTCCGTCCTATAGGTAAAGTAGGTTAATGTATAATTTATATTATTGAGGGAAAATTTGTCCGGGGCTAAAGAAAAAACATCCGGGGCTTTAGCGAAGCCCCTGGTTGACGCTGTGGTGAATGCTTTAAACCAGGGGTTCCCAACCTGTATTGTGCCAAGGACCAGCAGATCCATAAAAAAAAAAAAATCGCGGACCGGTTGTCAATTTTAACTGATTTGAATATTTACTCACCACCAGCAGCAACAGAGGCTAATTGTATGTAACAGCCTGAACAAATACTAGAACAATATGCATCCAAAACATATTAACAAAGTTTAAAAAAGAACCGGTGTCGTTTTTTGGTTTTTCGGGAAAACGGAAAACCAAAAAAACGACGTTATTCAGTTTTTAAACTAAAACGGGAAAACAGATAAATCAACGTTTTGGTTTTGTTTGTATGATTTACGGATAATCCAGTGAATGCTGAGAAACAAGGAGATGACGCATTATGAAGGAGATGTCCGGTCGTGTGTGTGTGTGTGTGTGTGTGTGTGTGTGTGTGTGTGTGTGTGTGTGTGTGTGTGTGTGTGTGTGTGTGTGTGTGTGTGTGTGTGTGTGTGTGTGTGTGTGTGTGTGTGTGTGTGTGTGTGTGCAACACGTTCTCACTCCCATCCCGTCACATATTGACGGACGGTCAGGGCCCCTCCCCGTCGCTATATTACGTAAAGGGTACCCCTTGACCGTCAGGCTTCTATGGGCAGGGCGTCCCATAAACCTTCATTGCGGACAGCGGATCCCTTGACCGTCAGGCTTCTACGGTTAGGGCGTCCCATAGACCTTCATAGACCACGTGATCAACAGCAATGGCCGACCTTCGTGTTATTCTCGGTGGAAAATGCCTATTTTAAGGTTCATTTGGCCATTAAAATACGTTTTGATGTCATTTTATGCGATTAATATGAGTTTATATTTCTGATTATTTGTGCAGTAGATGTAGGCCTACATGATGTTTAGTTTGCTAGTTATGACGAAGATTACTTCATGAATGTGTACACATTCATGGTTGCTAAGGTGGTTTCTATGGA